GGACTCTAGAGCCCGGGACAGTGTGCTCACAGAAGAGAGAAGCTGAGTGCCGAGGCCTAGGGCTGCCATCCTGGCACTCCGGGAAGCTGAGGCAGGAGGATCACAAGTAGGGTTCCAGCACTGATAACTTAACAACTTAGCTAGACCCTGCCTCAAACAGAAAATACAAACAGAATTCTCATTCTTAGGGGTTGCTGTCAGAAGTTCACTAAGACAGCTCTGGCGAAGCACAGACCCCAAGGTTATCTGGGTTTAATGGCTCGGGAAGCTAACACCATGGAGAGCTACTGATGGAGACAGACCCTTGGAACCTTGTAGCACCGGGAGAGTGTTTGTGTTAGGAAGTCACAGCACGTGTGTGTGTGTGTGTGTGTGTGTGTGTGTGTGTTTGGATAACAGGTGTGCACCACTAGCCCAGCAGGGATAAGGTACTCTCAAGGTTTTTATCATCCTTCAAGAAGAGCCCGAGAGCTGGAGATTATACATCACATTCCCAGCACCCCAAAAATCAGTCACTCAAAAAAGTGCATGCGGTATAGAATAGCATCATGAGCTACAGACTCAGAGCACCTGGCTACAAATCCAGGCACTGTCAACCTCTGACTGCACACGGTGGACAAGTCTTTAACCCTTTCTGGGTCTCAGTTTCCTTATCTGTAAAATGGGAAAGTAATGGAGCCAGAGCCGCTGGGTTCCTGTAAAGAGCAGGGCACGGACCAGAGAGCCAGATGGCCTCAGTTTAAATCCCAGCTCTGAGCTGGGTGTGACAGTACATACCTGTAACACCAGCGCTCTCAGAAGCCAAAGCAGGAGAATGCCAATTTTGTGTGCAGCCTAAATTCAAGAACAGCCTGTGTAATTCAGTGACTTAATGAGACCCTGTCTCAAAGATAAAAAGTGTTTCAGAAGGCTGGAGATATAAATCACTGTGAAGACCCTGGGCTCCACCCCTGCCTAGGTTCAGTGTTGATCCCTTGCCAGGCAGGTGCAAGGCCCTGCGTTCCATGCCCAGCACCACAAAAGAAAGGGAAACAAACCCCAGCTCTGCCCCCTCCTAGCTGTGTGACCTCTGGCAAATTACTTAACTTCTCTGGGCCCCCAGTTCATTTTCCACGGGCAGTGACAATGCAAGGACATGCCTCCGAGGACTGTCCTGAAGGTTAGAAAATGTCAAGACTCACATCTGCCGGAGGAAGGGTTGCCACTGTTATCACAGGTGTGGAAGCTCTTACACACCGGACCTAGAGGTTTGAAGGAGACAGGAGCTGGGTTGAAAAGGGTGGCGCAGGCAGAGGAGGAACTGTGAGGGGGAAGTGGCACTGGAATGGGAAAGAATGGCATGACTCTTACAGAAGGTGCTGTTTCATAATTTCAGGCTGGGCTTTTGTCAAGTTCCCCCACTCCGCCCCCAGGGACGTGGGTTCCAGCTCTCTCCCGCTCTGCCCCGCGTCCCCGCTCAGGTCATTGTACCTGTGTTTGTCACGGACCCTGTACACCTCCCTCTCTCCTTCATTTCCATCCATCCTTTCATCCAGTTACCCCACTGTCCCTCAAACCTTCTTCTCCTCCTCCTCTTCTTCCTCCCTCACCTTCCCTTCCTTTTTCCCTCCATCACTTCTCCCTTATTTCCTTCCTTTGTTTTATTTTTGTGATGACACTATTAAATTAGAAGTCACATACCATAGAATTCACTCCTTCCTCGTGGTACTGCGGATGCAACCCAGGGCCTTTGCACCCAGACTTTTATTTTATTTTCTACTGTGAGACAAGGTGTTGCTAAGCTGCCCAGGAGGGCTGGAAATTGGGATCTTTCAGCCTCAGCTCCCGTGGTGCTGGGATGACAGGCGTGTGCCACGTTTAAAGTGTACCACCCGCTGCTTTTTAGTGTGGTCACTGTTGTGTCTCTGTCACCACACTGAGTTGTAGAGCATTTCCATCCTTCTCCAAAGACACCCTGTGTTCACCAGCAGTGCTTCCCTGGTACCCCTCCCTCCACGCTGATGGTCAACATCATGACTTACCTTAGCTGGACTGTGGGTGCCAGGTGTTTGGTCAGACTTTGTGTGTGTGTGTGTGTGTGTGTGTGTGTGTGTGTGTGTGGTGATTCTGTGTGAGATGAACATTTGGATGTTGGGCTTGTCACTGGACTGGTACCGACAAGGTCCCCCAAAGAGGAGAAACCTCAAGTCAGCCCATGGAGTAGATTTATGGACTCTTGTCATCGAAAAAGTACATTCTTTCAAGATGTATCAGTGACAGGTGTAGACAGTTCAGTTTAGGGGGCTGGGAATTTAGCTCAGCGGCACAGCGCCTGCCTGGCAAGCGCAAGGTCGTGAATTCGATTCCCAGTACTGGAAAAAAAAAAAAAAAGAAAAGAAAAGAAAAGAAAAGAAAAGAAAAGAAAAGAAAAGAAAAGAAAAGAAAAAACCAAAGACAGTTCAGTTTAGTTTAGTTTTGTGCAGAACTTGAAGTTGAACCCAGGGATGCTGAACTGAGCTGCATCTTCAGCACTTTTCTTCTTTAATTTTAAGAAAGGGTCTCATTGCCTAGGCTAGGCACAGACTTATGATCCTCCTGCCCCAGCCTCCCAGAGTGTTGGGATGACGGATGCACCAGAGAACCTGGCTCATAGGCAGGTTTATTAGGCAGAGCTGTAAAAGAAGGAGGAATAGGGAAGAACTCCAGCTGGAGCATCTGGAGGGGCTCACAGCATAAGGGTTCAGACTGGCGAGGCTTTATGGATCAGCTAAGTGAGCAGGGTTGGGTCAGTCATTATCTCAGTTCTGGTTTCATAACTCCAAGGAATCCTCATGGCTTGATGGGCAGCTAGGTTCCCATAAGATGCATAAAGGAATGCTAAACCTGTTCATTATGACAGGCTCAGAACTATCAAATAGAGCTTCAAGGAAAATCCAGCAGCATTCTAACAGATGCCCAAGGAGACCATCTACAACTGTACTAACCTAGACTTTAAATCCAGGGAGGGTCAATTACCCTGGGCCCACACTTCATGCGTGAATCAGCTCCAGATATCAAGAGATAGTACCAAAAGCCCTGACAGGCCTTCAAACAGGGGTGAACTGAGTATGCTTTCTTGG